GGAAGATTATTGCTTCGCTGTCATGGTTATGGTTGTTGTGTTCTTTTTTTTCTTCTGCAGTCCATACACAGGAAAACATGTCTCTTCAGAGGGTCGTTCCTACGACCCTTTTCTTACATCCAAGAGAAGTTCTCTTTTTATGCCAGCCAACCTGTAGAGTTAGAATCTTACATATCATGTTGACAAAGTGGATTAGTGGCTGCCTACCCAAACGCACTTCCGGTCACGCAACATTTAGATCTTATAATACCTTGACGTTATGGCCTCCAGCGTTTTGTTAATGTCTATGTGAGCTTAGTCACCCCTAAATATGTCGTTTTGCGCGCCTAATGCTCGCTGGAGCACAGACATTCCCCATACATAACATATATAGTCGCATGAATGACATACTACGAATGAGCGCATATTACTACTAAGTTACATTGTAGGGTGGCGAGATGGTTTTTTGCTTAGGGTTATTGACTTACACCCCATAAGGCCGGGACTGCTGAGCCACCGCTGAGCAATCAAAGTCATTGATCAACGAATTTCAAGGATGGAGAACGAACTTTCTTTACGATTTCTGTGTTTTGGTACCATTAGATCATACTTTTACGTCTTACGTCATATTCACCTTGCATCACATTATGAAATCAAGAGTCAGATAAATTTTGGTCGCTTTTGCGCAACCGTGTGAGTGACGTGCGTACTCCCTCCCTCAGCTCATGCCAGTCCTTCCCCACGTTTTCAGAAAAACGTAGCGGACGTGGCCTTCCATAAAACGTACGGACAAAAAGCACCTATCGCGGGTTGTGGGGGACGTAAAGCAAGGGTGGTGACGGTATTCTGAAACCCTTCTGCCACGTACCGGTAACGGTTTTTCTTTAGCGGGCGTGCCCGTGGGGCGGGTCATAATAGCGGTAGAATAGCCGCTTATTTTGTCTTGCGACTCAAGTTACAACGCACATTTTATTGCAGCATTGTGACATCGAGTACTTGCACTTCAAAGGAGACTGAGGGCTCATGTACAGGGACGGGCACGGGCTTGCCTTGCCATGCCAGTAATAGCGCAGGCATGATAGACAGCTTCACATCCTTCACTGGCCTTTTGCCGACTCCTTTTTCATGTAGGGACATAGCGAGAAAAAGATAGCAGGAAAGGTTTCAGGCCCATCGCTGAAGGGTTACAAAACTACCGTGGCGGTTTCGGAAACGTTTCGCAAAACCCCATAAAATACCGTTTTTCGTCGCAGGGAACGGTTATCGCATCCGAAGCGTTTTTGTCACCCCGAAACCCTTTAAGCGTTTCCAGTCTAAAGTGAGCACGTTAAAAATCCCACCACACTCATCGAAAGGAGTAGGGTCTTTCCTTGTGTGCGTGTCTCACAACGTACAGTCCGGAGTAATGTACGTAGTTTGTATAATTACATCTACCTACTGTACACAACTGGTGTGTTACCAGTTCAGTTAAGTAGTTGTGTACGCTATCACACATCCACTGGGCCCAGCATTCGGGTCTAAGATTTATAACATGTTCGTGTCTGCCTGACTATTGACTCACCACTCAGTCCCTTAAATGTCGACAAACATTTTGTCCCTCCCTTCCCTCGGAATGTTCCCTAAAGCAATAACACATCCCAGCAGAAACAGGTGTTGTTTGCTAACAATTAACATCGCTATGATTACAAAAACACCAGTAATCTAATTAGAAGATTGACAAAGAAAGGAACCATGTACCATCTTGTAACTGACTAGTTGCCTCCCCGGCCTATGCAGACTTTTTGTGTGGGTGGCAAGACTACAGGATAGGTACTGGGTGATTACATTACAAGGTGACGACGTGCGAATAGATCAAGTTTACGTTCCAAGAATCAAGTTCAATTCAAGCACGGGGGAATCAAGATACGGAGGCTACAGATGGACGTTAAACACACATCCACAAAGACTCTGGGAAACTTTCTGAATTACACACTGGAATCATCCCTTTTTGAGTAAATCGGGGATACAACTAGTACCTGTACACCATGTTTATGGGCTGCATTCGGAAGGAAGTCAGAATATATACTAGCGTGCTTCTCTCAATATGAAAGGCAAACACAGTGTGCATTGGCAATACTGAATGCGTCAGCGGTGGTTCTAAGCAAATTTTACAGACGAAGGGCAGGTCACTGTATAACGCATTATACGTCTAAAAACACATTTTCAGGAAAAACCGTATCAATGTCATCAAGCAAACAAGGAAGTGTCTGGCTGTGATATCGGTCAGTGTGGATAACCTAACCACTCTTCCAGATGAATGTTTCCGCCCAAGGGGACCTGTCAGATATCCGCAGTACGTCGTGGACGGGAGCTCATGTTTGATGAGGGAA